GTTGTCAGTACCCATTATGTGCAATTTCAAGCCAAATTTCTTCAATGTCAGGTAAAGTGATATCTCTCTCCACAAGTGCTTGGCAACAGAAAACCTAGTGAGATTAAAAGTGGGTATATCTAATTTTATTGGTCTCCCAAGTATGGCCCCAATGGAATAAAGGACCTGATAATTGAAAAGATGCAACTTAAGCCCAGGTAATTTAAATTATATTGGTACTGTATGTAGTTCTTAGTTAGAATCAAATTCAGAAGACCATTTGAGCAACTTCATAGTTTTTTATTCAATGGTGAGGAATTTCCTGGAAAAAAATCCTAGCATAGTCTTTGTCTATATTCAATTGAATCATAACATGCCTCTCATCAAAGAGACTCACCTTCCATTGTCCAATAAATTTGAGATCCTCAAAAGCTTTGTAAATAACCTCTATTTTGGGATGCCCCAACTGAAATTTCTCAATGAGTGTGAATTTGTATTTTTCAGCCAATGTAGAGACTTCGAGGTCTGAAAAAATAAGAGTGGCCTTATCACCCTTTCTACAAGCCCTCTTAACAAATGGACAGTCGGCTTTCCCTTCAAGAGAATCATAATAGATCTGAGGAAACACCACATGCTCAACAGCTTTTTCAGAGTCAAGACCCTTATCAAGCGCTTCAACAAAAGATTATTTGCCTAGGTACTGATTCGAGCGAGGAATAGTAGCCATCGAAGCAAAAGAAAAAAATGGAGAAAGGATGTCGCAGGGGAGGCGTTGTAAAACAGAGGGGTTGTTGTCCCGAAGAAGAGGATGGAGCAGAAACTGCGGGCGTAATCTAAGTCGAAGCTGATGAAACCTTGCGTGCGGCTTTTGCGATGACGGAAGTCTTTCACATGGTCGGACGAGTCGGAATCGAAGGAGAAGAAGAAGGCAAGGCTCAGTGAAGACGAAGCTTCGTGCGTGAGCTGGGGCAGTGATGAATCTGCTACGACTCACCCCTCCCTTCTTCGTGCATGAGCTAGGGTGGCGACGAACCTGTTACGACGCTCCCCTTCCCTTCTTCTTTAAGTAAGACGAGGTGACGATGCGACTAACAAGCTTCGTTCTCGTTCCGGCGTAAGGATATCGAGAGCTACTCGAGTCGCCATGGCATCGCGATCAAAGCAAACCCTAGTAGAGCATAACCCATAGTTTTTTTTTGTATATAGTTATATTATATATACTATATACTATATATATATATATATAT